ATATTGCAGTGTAAGGTGAATCATTGTATTGTGAATCATTAATTACCATTAAAATAAAGCAATAATAATGAGATGTGTTCCTAAGTGTGACCTTTTCATAACTTTTGTGTGGCTTTTTACCCTCTTTTCCCCCAAAACAATACAATTAATGAAAAATGAAAGCTATAATCTTTAAATGAAGCGCTCAGCATCAGAAGGGGGGTGAAGCGACACCCCGGCCAAAATGAGTTTTTTGATGGATATCATTATTTTCACCCTTCCTCTACATGTTGGCGTTGGATGTAACTCTCTAGCTAGAATAGAAATATGGTAGAAAGTCCTTTAAAAATAAGGTGTGATTTCACCTCAGGCCTTGAGCTATGTATCTGGCTGTGCACTCAGTGCAAAAAAGTGGCAACATACCGTTCAGAGCAAAAGGAGCGCGAGCCAATGACAGAGCGCCTCCCTCAGACCATACCCCCGAGGCAGCCAATCGCAATGGATTTCCCCTTGTTACGTCACAGCTCCTCAGCCAGTCCGCGCACCCAGATGCTGCTGCCTCCTTAGTTTTGGTGCATATTATAGCATAAGGAGGTTCAGTGGACGTTCTACTGCTATTTTTTATAACTTTTCGGTGTAACATTGACGTTATTCGTGTTCCACGGGTGTGAGAAGTGCTGTGCAATATCTGCCCAATATTAGAAAAAGACTTGAGTGAGGCCAGGCCCTCTGGTGTGGGTTCAGGAGCCCATTATTCCTGAGCAGGTGTTTGACGCCAGTGCTCACGTGGACACCCCAGTAATGCTTGGTGATAGTGATTTTGGTGGTGAATTTAGTGTTGATTATGGTGATACAAGTGCTACTGGCGATGGTGCAGGTGACGTGAATGATTGCAGAAAAAACCATACATCACGTTATGAACCATCAGAAGATCTTTTTAGAGACTATGATGGCTTACCTGTCAACAATGAAAGTGACTCACAGCATGATGTAAGTGATTATCATAATGACAATAACACTTTGAAAGCATCCCAAGATCTTTTTTACACACTATTACACACTATTATACTTGACACTATCATAAATCTTTGGCTAATAATAGGGACAGAAAGATAAATACTGATAGGCAAATGAGTTTATTATTATTATTTCATTTTTTTTGGGTGGGGGGTTTAAGACGAGTGCTGTTTTTGGTGATCATTAACTTGTTTTACAGTATTAGCCCACAATAATAAGACAATTTGCAGAAAAACATGATTATTGTTGGTTTGAAGCTCAAACAACTGTACATCACGGGTAGTTATTCTCATTCAACTCGGGATAAAATAATAACTATTCACAGTACAAACTTCCAGTTTTTACAGTTCGCTATGAGATGGATTGAGCTGCACGATAAATAAATGAATCCTCTAGCTTAAAAAAAAAGTACTGGTTGTTTGAACTTCGAAAAACTTTAAACGCATTTTTGCTCAGCTTTTTTAATTTGGCGCTTCACCCCCTTCTGGCGCGGAGTGCCTCAAATAATGTTTCTGAATGCACCTTACACAATATAAATCAATAATAATAAGATCACGCAAGAGGAGATGGGACGCCATTGTTGTTGTCAGTGTTTACACCCATAATGTCAGTTATCCATCTGAAACAAGAAAATAAGACCCTGGTTGTTGCTGTAGTAAAATTAATGTAAAAAAAGAATATGTATGTATTAGGTAATATTAATAAATGGAACAATAGAAGTAGCTAACCATTAACGGTAAAGAAAAAACTAAATAGATTGGGAACGCCATCGTATGTAAGTGCGTACATGTGAAAACATCATCATTTCTCTACATAAGAACATGAAAGCAACACTTGCTACTGTTCATATATGTCTTAAATAATACTTAATAATGTAAAACAAAAATTCTACTCACAAATGGTGGTAAAGACAAAATCAACACCTTATTTTTAAAGGACTTTCTACCATATTTCTATTCTAGCTAGAGAGTTACATCCAACACCAACATGTAGAGGAAGGGTGAAAATAGTGTAAGTTTTTACTCAGATGATTTTGTCAATCAGGTTCAACTCTGGCTGAAGCTGTAGGTTCAACTCTGGCTGAAGCTGTAGGTTCAACTCTGGCTGAAGCTGTAGGTTCAACTCTGACTGAAGCTGTAGGTTTAACTCTGGCTGAAGCTGTAGGTTCAACTCTGGCTGAAGCAATAGGTTCAACTCTGGCTGAAGCTGTAGGTTCAACTCTGGCTGAAGCAATAGATTTAACTCTGGCTGAAGCTGTAGGTTCAACTCTGGCTGAAGCTGTAGGTTCAACACTGGCTGAAGCAATAGGTTCAACTCTGGCTGAAGCTGTAGGTTCAACTCTGGCTGAAGCAATAGGTTTAACTCTGGCTGAAGCTGTAGGTTCAACTCTGGCTGAAGCTGTAAACTAGGTTCAGGTTCACTCTGTAGGTTCAACTGGCTTGAAGCTGTAGGTTCAACTCTGGTTGAAGCAGGTTCAACTCTGGCTGAAGCTGTAGGTTCAACTCTGGCTGAAGCTGTAGGTTCAACTCTGGCTGAAGCTGTAGGTTCAACTCTGGCTGAAGCAATAGGTTCAACTCTGGCTGAAGCTGTAGGTTCAACTCTGGCTGAAGCTGTAGGTTCAACTCTGGCTGAAGCTGTAGGTTCAACTCTGGCTGAAGCACAAGCTTTCCATAAAAGCTGTTGCTGAAACTGTTACTGAACCTGCTTATGATGCTGAAGTTGGTGGTTTAGGCCTTTGAATAATAAAGCTGTTAAAAAACCTTTCACAGCTGCTTTCTTTTCTCATCGTACATCTTTATGTAGAGGTCATATGTGTTTTTCACGTCCCTGTTAATTTTAATGCTTTGTTCTGTTAATGGATCCACTTCAGAAAATATGTTCATTGCTTGCTCCATATAATATCCACAGACCTCTCACCTTTTTCATATCGTTTTAACACATCTAGTTTCTCGGCTAAGCTTATACACTTTCTATTAGCTTTTGAACCAACACTACCATCACTTGCTCTCTTACGCATGTTGAATCGGGACACAAAAAATACCAAAAGGAATCTGAGAATGTTTTTCTCCTTTTCCTGTTCAGATGCATGAAAACAAAAGGCGCACCAAGTTGCGACTGTTTATGCTGGCGTCACCACTCACAGCCCGGCAGCCTCTGTGCGCAAGGCATTTTTTTTATATAATACTTATCGGGATTGAAATAATATTTATATATGAAAATGTAATTTTACTTTTATTTTTATAATATTTTTGTCATAAATACGAAGAAAATAATGGTGTAAATTAAATTGGGTCCTAAATTAACCAGGGTCTTTAATATGAATCGTTGTTATGGGAGGCTTTCCTGTACAGTACCCGGAAAATTGAAAATTCCATGGATGGAGAGTTTTTTCTGGGTTTGAGAAATTAAAATCAGGATCATTTTCCGGAAATTCCAAGAAAAATTTGCAGCACAGTACCCGGAAAATCCTAGGGATGGGGGATTTCATCTCATTACCCGGAAATCTCTCATTCCCGGAAGTGCTCTGCACCAATTGTTCCGGCTAACGGAGATATCACTGTACTGTACAGTGGTCCCTCGATTAACGAATGATCCAATTAACGAAATTTCAGCTAACGAATTAGCTCCCATAAGGATTTTCAGTTCGATTAACGAACAAAACTTCAATTAACGAAAGCCTTACGAGAAATACTTTTGTTGTGCGCATTAGCTGATCAGCTGATCGGCCAGTCCGCCAATACAGTAATCAGTTCTATGTTTACATTCTGCATTTTTATATTAAAATTATTAGTCATTCAGAAATTTAGTTAACATATTGAAAATACATACAGTACAGGGAACAGTTTTTGTGCACCCATCAGCTGATTGAATCACCCAACAACGCTTCTCAGTTTAACTTTGTTTACAGTGGAGTGAACATCCAGTTTGTTGGTCTCTTTAATATTTTTGCATTTTTACATTAAAATTATTGGTCATTCTGAAATTTAGTTAATATATTGATAATATACTGTACAATGCAGAAATTATTATGAAACACGAAGAAGGCATTAGAACCAATGCACTCTGTAAAGAATATGGCATGTCATCATTGACTGCCTCTACAATCAGCTAGAACACAAGGCTGTGCCAGGAGTAGGTGAGGAAGGTTGCCTCACCCACACTCATATGGGTGCTCTGAAATACGAGAAAGTGGATGCTTCTGTGTATGACTGGTACAAGTAGCTACGAGCAAGTGGTGTTCCCGTTCGCGGTACTGAGCTCCATGATGCCGCCCAGTACTTCTCTACGCTGCTGGAGGTGCCTGACTTCTGTGGGAGCTTTGGGTGGTTCTAAATATTTTATATACTCTCTACGGAACCAACAAGAGACAAGTGTCTGTCGAGAGTTCTAATGCTGATGTGGGTAGTGTCCAGCCATTCAAAAAGGATCTGCAACAACTCAACCATGACAATGACATGAAAAAGTATGAGATGTACAACATGGATAAGACAGGCCTCAATGGGAAATCCCTGCCCAGCAACCCCCGTGGATCCTGGTGGGCGAGCAGCACTCCTGGACTCACATGTGTCAGTGCTGCTATGTACCAATGATGCTGGCACCCACAAGATAAGACCCATGGTGGTGGGAATGCACGGAGGCCAATAGTGCTACGGAATTCCGTGGGTGATCTTCCTGTATCCCGACGTGGCAACAAAGAGGCTTGGTTAGTATTTGAACTGGTTGCATAATGTTTTCATGCAAGGGTTTGCTCTTCCTTGAAAAAGCACTTCCTCGTAAATAGAGGCAAACACGTACCAGGCCAAGCTGTTATTGTTATTATTCAACTTGTAATTTCAGGCAGACATACATAATTTTCTTAATTTTTTTTTACTCTCTTACATGCACACAAAATTGTTCACACAGTATGTGCAAAAATTAAATAAATAAAATGTATGATTATCATAATGTCAAAAACATAAAGGCTATATACATTTGTTTAAGATAAGTAACATCACTTTGCTTACCTTACATGTATTATTGTACTGTTCAAACATGTAGGTGTTGTAGGTAAGTATTAAAGGCACTGGTAACTTGTGTGAGGCCTACAGTACTTCAGAGCTGTAAAAGAAAAACAGAGCAAAACCAATTAAATCACAACACTTTTGGATACAACAGACTTTTAGTATTTATAGAAATCAAATTGTAATGTCTCTTCATCTTTGGTACATCACACATTACAAACAGCAAGTTCTGATTTAATTAAGCATCTCCATAAACAGTATCAGAGGCTTAAAAAGAAAGACAAGTTTTGCTGCTTCTTCTGTACCAAGACGGCTCTTTAGTTTCCAGTGAACAAGTCCACAGGGGAGATGAATGGGAACAGTTGTCAGTCAACAAAGGAAAAATAAGATTTTAATTTTAACAAATTTGATTGAAATAAAAAAATCTGATTTTTTTTAATAAAAAATCAACAGCCAGTGTTCCATGTTGTTAACAACATTTCATTCCAATATATTTACCTATATAATGATGAACTCATTGTCCTTTAGCTATACAGTACTGTACTGTACTCTATGTACTGTAAGTTCTTTGTTAGAAGATACTGGACACTGTCCCCCCTCACCATACCCCAGCTCAGGTACCTAGACTATCACTGTCCTCCCTCACCATACCCCAGCTCAGGTACCTAGACTATCACTGTCCTCCCTCACCATACCCCAGCTCAGGTACCTAGACTGTCACTGTCCTCCCTCACCATACCCCAGCTCAGGTACCTAGACTGTCACTGTCCTCCCCACCATACCCCAGCTCAGGTACCTAGACTGTCACTGTCCTCCCTCACCATACCCCAGCTCAGGTACCCTAGACTGTCACTGTCCTCCCTCACCATACCCCAGCTCAGGTACCTAGCTCCAGGTACCTAGACTGTCACTGTCCTCCCTCACCATACCCCAGCTCAGGTACCTCCTGTCCTCCCTCACCATACCCCCAGCTCAGGTACCTAGACTGTCACTGTCCTCCCTCACCATACCCCAGCCAGGTAGACTGTCCTGTCCTCCTCACCATACCCCAGCTCAGGTACCTAGACTGTCACTGTCCTCCCCACCATACCCCAGTTCAGGGTACCTAGACTGTCAATGTCCTCCCTCACCATACCCCAGCTCAGGTACCTAGACTGTCACTGTCCTCCCTCACCATACCCCAGCTCAAGTACCTAGACTGTCAGTGTCCTCCCTCACCATACCCCAGCTCAGGTACCTAGACTGTCACTGTCCTCCCTCACCATACCCCAGCTCAGGTACCTAGACTGTCACTGTCCTCCCTCACCATATGCCAGTTCAGGTACCTAGACTGTCAGTGTGGCATGTAACAAGCCACCTGTGAAGTGAGGAACATAACATAGGTTTGTAACTGTGCAATGGAAACTGTATACTGTACACCGTATACCTGCATAGTCTTTATACAGTACATACCAAACCAATTGTAGATCTGTACAGTATACAGTATGGTGAGTTACTGTATAAATATGAGTCATTCAATAAGTAAAGAGGCTCTTTGATGTAGATGGCAAAGAGGACGACAAGAGCAGAGATCATGTTTAGACATGCATAAGCTATATCTTCATCTGTTTATTTAGTGAGTTCATTGTATTTGTCTGGAGTAACAATCAGCACTCCACATGAATTTTGCACTATGGAAGAACAACGAACTGTTATTTGCTTTTTAAATTCGGAAGGGATAAAACCAAGTGAAATTTGTCACAGAATGTCGCTTCAATATGAAAACAATTGTATCAGTCGAGCAAACATTTATGAGTGGGTTGAACATTTCAAGAATGGTCAAACAAACTTGCAAAGAAAAGGCACGATTCTTCCGCAAGATAATGCATGACCCCACAGGACACAGCATATATATGCAAGAAATTATTAGAAAACTGGGCAGGGAGATTTTGCTGCACCCTGCATATAGTCCAGATCTCCCACCATCAGACTACCACTGCTTGGTCATCTCAAAACAGCTTTACATGGAAAGCATTTTTCAAATAATGAAGAGGTAAATAAAGAAATCCAAAACTGGTTATGGAGTCAGCCATAAGAATTTTTGGCCACAAGAACACGAAAACTCATAAAAAGATGGGACAAGTGCATAGCTGCAGAGGGACATTATGCTGAAATATAGATATGTGACCCTTAATAATAAATCATTACTTCTGCAGTTATAATCATTTGTCTTGTTACTTATTGAATGTCTCTCATTATTATTATAGATAATACTTGACAATAGTGGTCCAAACTAGACAAAATTTCTCCAAAGAAGATAAAACCTTTAATACCTTGAGAACTAGCTACCAAAGGTGCTCGAGGGAAGTGTTTATTGAGATATCAGTTTAGATGTACAAGATGGGTGGAGGAAGATGGTCAAAGATGACCCTGTTGTGTTTAAACTGAAGAAATGTTCCTCTTTCACGAAAAAGAAAGTTTATTGTATTATTGAAGTATAATGTAAGGAATATATGTAGCTAAAGTCTCATAGTTAGTTTTCTTTATTTTATGAAAAAAAAATTTCACATTGTAAGAACATTTCACCAATTGCTACCTACACAATTGTTACCGTACTTACGTGTTGAGCATAAATGGTGCCATATTTTTAATTATTTCTGCAGAGTAACTTCAGGAAAGATGTTGTAGTTGTTGACTGTGTCGGAGGCAACGCTTGAGTAGTTTGATTACCGTCTTCTGTTAATAATAATACAAAATTAGTTAATTATTTGGATCGTGATGTCACGGCTCCTAGTTTGGTGGACAATTTTAGTCTCATTTTGCTCAATGTTTGATGCTTAATGCAATGGAGATAGTCTCTTTTTTCTAGAAACGCTAAAATATGTGGTTTTTCAACTTCCAAGTTACAATGACTGTTTTTCTTTGACAACCAACAAATCATAACCTAACCTAAGCTTGACTAACCTAACCTAACTTTAGTCACAGAGTGGCTGGCGCAGAGAATGATCAATAGTTCAGAGGGGCTGGAACATGGGCATCTTCAGTCAACAACTGACAAAAACTTCTCAACTTGAAAGTTGAAAAAACACTTTTTTTTTTAGCATTTCCACAAAAAGAAACTATCTCCATTGTATTGAGCATCGAACATTGAGCAAAATGAGACTAAAATTGTCCACCAAACTAGAAGCCGTCATGATCCAAATATTAGCCAAAAATTGTTCAGGGGGACGAATACTCTCCAAGTGAGCGGTATAAACTGGCAGTGAATGGAGGGTTGAGAACTGCTTCCACAAGCACGAAAATTTGTCAACTATTGTAACTAAAAGTGAATTGACACAAAACACATCCCTCCGGCTATATGTATTTCCACACCAATCAGGCCCATAAGCCACGCCCCTCTTCTATATTAATATCTGATTGGTTCATAGAAAATTCATACTAAATGTGTTCACAATTGGTAATCAGACCTGTTATTATCTAAAATATTGTTAAATATCTGAACTATGATGCATGAGTTTGTAAGGTTAGCCCTGAGATACTATGAGGTATTGTAAGGTACTGTGAGGTGCTGTGGGGTAATCTGAGGTACTGTGAGGTGCTGTGAGGTATTGTGGGGTGGTATGAGAAATTGTGAGGTAGTGTGAGGTATTGAAGTGCTGTGAGGTGCTGTGATGTGCTGTGAGGTGTTGAGGTACTGTGAGGTATTATGAGGTAATGTGAGGTACTGTGAGGTGGTGAGAGTAACGGTGAGGTGATGTTGGTTGAGTCACCTCCTCACTGCGGTGCGAGATAGGAAGCCTTGCAATAACCTCTCACCTCACCACCAGTCACAACACAAGACGTAAACAACTGAAACAAATGACTCAACCATCGCGTTCTAAAACTACACTAATTTCTACTCAACACGAGTCTAATACATAAGTTTAAAGTTTTAATCTATTAACCAATTTGAAATTTTTTTACTCAATTTTTACTTGTACTTTTACCCTCGTTAACCGCACAGGCGATCGGTCACGTCTCTTCACATTTTCCCTTCCCCCTAATTCTCAAACTAGATCTGTTTCTAGAGCTGGTATCATTACATCTATCAATGTGGATCAGTGCACCATTTCCTCTAATATGTCATGGAATGTGAGTTCAG